AAAGAAAGAAAGAAAACGAAGTAAGTAGCAGTAATTTTTACAAGAAAGAATAGAGTTCCTCGTACCTACGTCAAGAAACAGGAGGGTACCTGAAGCCAATCTGGGCCCAAGTGGCTCATTCCTCCGAGTATTCAATGACCTCCCTTGAATGTCTGCTCTCTGCCTTCCAAGTCCTTCAGTCTCCAAAAACAGGCAGCAACAGCAACATTAACAGAAAAATTAACAGCAGTAGCAGTAATAACAGGACCAGTGTTAAACATTTTGCCTTTGCTAATTCAATTGCTCATTACAACAAGCATGTGAGAAAGACATTACTCTTAAATTCTAGGTCTTTACTTTCTTGATAATCACAATCCGGCTTTATGCTTCATAGTATAATAACAATTTTATTTTTCCTACATCTGGCTCCTTGTTGCCCTGCAGGGCCCCTCTACTCCTCTGAAACTGAAATTCTGTTTTGTCCTGCCTGTCTTCCCATTTCACTTTAGCAGACCTTAAAGTTTCCTCTTGGTTTCCATTTTCCCAGCATCTACTACCAAACTTTGTTAAAAAGAACTATTAGACCACTTAGTTCTCTATAAATTCTCGGCTGCTGGGCCCTCCCAATGCTACAACTGCCTAATTATAGACTTCTCCAATCCCTTAGGATCACTGACCTGTCTAGTCTGCCTCACCAGCTAGTCCAAAAAAAGTGGCCTTATTTCAGCCACTCATTTTTTTTTTTTTGAGAGAGAGAGAGAGAGAGAGAATTTTTTTTAATATTTATTTTTTAGTTTTCGGTGGACACAACATCTTTGTTTGTACGTGGTGCTGAGGATCGAACGCGGGCTGCACGCATGCCAGGCGAGTGCGCTACCTCTTGAGCCACATCCCCAGCCCCTCAGCCACTCATTTTAAAATATTATTTTATAGCACGTGTGCTTTCTTAATTTGCATTTGCTGCAACTTAATATTAAAATGAGTTCCCTTTCCCTAGGGACTCAAAGAAAGGCCAAAATATACCAAAGCTCCATCTACTATAGTACCCTGGAAACTAATTAGTTATCTGTTGAATAATGAACTAAAAAAGGGAAGTAATAATTATAAATAATAGCTCAAAAAATTCTCAAAGAATATAACCCAAAGAATATCATTTTCAAATGAAAAGAAAAGATGATAGTGGATAACTACAAGCAATTCACAAAAAAACAAAGCAAAAAAACAAATATACACAAATCTCAGAAATGCAAACTAAAATATCATTTTTTGTCAGATATTGGCAAAGACTGAAACATCATAGTAAGTAAATTTTTATTTTTGGTATTTGTGTATCAAGTAACTTTAAAATTCATAGACCCAGGGTTGGGGTTGTAGCTCAGTGGTAGAGCACTTGTCTAGCATGTGTTAGGTACCGGGTTTAGTTCTCAACACCATGTAAAAATAAATGAATAAAATAAAAGATCCATCGACAACTATAAAAATAATTTTTATAGTTTTTTTTATTTATAAGTGGTGCTGAGGATGGAACCCAGTGCCTCACACATGCCAAGGAAGTGTTCTACCACTGAGCCACAATTCCAGTCCCCTAAAAAATATTTTAAAAAATTCTTAGACTCCTTTGTACAGTATTTCATTTTAGAATTATTTTTAAATAACTGGGAAAAAAAGGATATATTTAAAATCTTCACTGTGTTTCCTCTTGGAAACATAAAAATCTATCCAACAATGAGGGCTTCGTTAAACAAATTTTAGTATTTCCAAACAAAAGATATTAGTAAATCACTTCAGAATATTATATATTATATAATACCAGTTTTTAAATATAACATATTCACACAAAAACATAACTGTATAGAAAAGAATATCTAGAGGTATACATTCCAAAATGTTAGCAGTCATTCTCTCTGTAAAAGTGGAATGTGTATGTGTATGTGTGTGTGTGTGTGTGTGTGTGTGTGTGTGTGTGTTGATTTGTTTGTGGCTTTTTGCTTACCTAGATCACCTAATTTTTCTATGGTAATCATGGGTTACACACAGATAATAACACATATTCTTCTAAAAAAGCAAAATGAAGATCACAATTTAAAGATAAAAAAAAAACCATTATGACACAGAGTAAAACACCCCAATATTCCATATGTCAAGCAGAGTTAATATCAAACAAAATATCAGATAATCCAGTATCTTAGTATAATCCAGAATCTTAGTATAGCCCATTTTTTAATTAGTTTTAGGAAGATATGTGGAAGAATCTGTAAGGACAAGAAAAGCGTGTAGTTATTCAAGCATTTTAAGAAAACAAAAAGAACTCCCTAATTTTTTAATTCTAAAAATTTAGAATCAATCCTAGAGTGAGTGTTGAAAATCTCATAATAAAAAGGAAAATTATTTCAAGTTTAAGATCAGCTTAAATCCTCTTGCCATCTCTTTTTACTTTTAACTTGTGAATCTTACTTTCCATGAGAAAGCAATCACCATGAAAATAAAAGACAAAAATCATTCATAAATTTAGGAATTCAAATTTAGGTGTGGCTAAAGATAAAATCTTTACAATAGCTTCTACTATTCTCAAATATGTTAACTCTTTCCCTCAGACTTGAAACATTTGTAGGGATGAAACTTAGTAACAAGAATGGGATCTTAATTGACTCTAGCAATGCTTGTCTTTTGCAAGCTAAGTACTGTGTATAGTTTCTAGCCAAAGCCCAGGAAATTGCTTGTGGCCATGCTAAACGTTGCCTAGGAATTGTGTACAATGCCCAATTCAACATGAACTGCAATGTAAAAAGTTAGTAAATCCTCAGTACTAACCCACAAACTATAATTTCTACTAAACTTGGCTGGCATAAAGTGAATGATCATTTCTACCTATCTATACAAGAACATGAAACAAATTATTCTAATTATACCCATATAATTAATAGCAGGCATCCACAGAAAGTCATTTAATGACAACTTCACACCTACAACACCGTGTGCAAGACAAGTATCACAAAGCATCACTGGTGCTTCCAATGGAATTTGATAGCAGATGCCAGGGTATAGGAAGTACCAAGTACAGTAACAATAACATCTATTTAAGCCTCTATTAGAAATGTCTTTGATGAAAGCAATTTTTGTTGCACCAGAAAAATTTCTGTTATAGGAGAAAAAACATTTTTTTTTTTTTTTTTTTTGCACCAGGTACAGTGGCACATGCCTATAATCCCAGCAACTTGGGAGGCTGAGGCAGGAAGATCGCAAGTTCAAAGCCAGCCTTAGCAATTTAGCAAGGCCCTAAGCAACTTAGTGAGAACCTGTCTCAAAATAAAAAATAAAAAGGGTTGGAGATATAGCTCAGTGGTAAAGCACCTTGGGTCAATCCCCACTACCAAAGGGGGAAAACAGAACAATTTTGCATAAAGGAGATCTTATGTTAACGACATTTGTATAATGAAAGCATCATAAAATACAAAAACTTTAGACCACACAATTATGCAGTTATTACTGAAAAGAACAGAGATCTCTTTCCATTTATGATAACCCTAGCACCATTCGTCCACTCATCCAACAAATATTTGAAAACCATTTACACCATTCTAGGACCAGAGAATACAAGAGTAAACATACAAAATCACTGTCTTCATAGAGTATACTATCCAGCAAGGGAGATAGTTATTAAACAACTACAGTAATCCCTCCATATCCAAGGGAATTGATTCCAGAATGCCCTTCAGATACCAGAATCTGTGAATGCTCAAGTCCCTTGTATAAAAATGTCATAATATTTGCATATGACCAATGCATATTCTCCTGTATATGTTAAATCACTCTAGATTACTTAAAATACCTAACACAATGTAAATACTATATACATAGTTGTTATACTCTATTGTTTAGGAGACAATGACAAAAAAAAAAGTCTAATAGATGCAAATTTTTTTCCAAATATTTTCAACCTGTGTTAGTTAAATCCACAAATATAATACCCATGAGTGTGAAGGGACAACTGAAATTTCATATTTGACTATAACTGCAAATGTCAAAATGCCATTAAATAAAAGGGCAAAGTTCTAAGAGAACATATTCTAGGCCTGGAGTCGAGTAAGCCAAATATAGGGGAGGAAAAGAGAGGTACAGAAAGAATAAATCTGTGCAAAGTCCCTGAAGCCAGAATGACCTTACCCAATGTCGGAACTAAAACAATCAAGTATAACTGAAGTAGGTAGATTATTTCTCAGACATATGTCAAATCTGAGATATGTAAAGACATCCAATTTAAGTGAGCAAGTTGATAACTATTACAAGTGTCTGGAGCTTAGAAACAAGGCCTAGAGCGGGTACAAACTTAGAAGTCACTGGCTTGGAGATGGTATCTGATGTACAAGAACCATAAATTTCTTATACAAGGTGAGTGAGACTTCAGGGTGGGGAGGGCAGTCAGGATTACTTTCTCAAATCACAGAAAACCAATTTACTTCTCTGTTGATTTGGAAACAAAAAAAATTAAAGTATTTTGTAACATAGTTATGACACAATGTTTTGTTTGTTCAGAAAAGTAAAAATTAAATGTATAAAATTATTGGGAAAATGCCAAAACCTAAGAAAAATACTTCTTTCAGTTAGTTTAAGGTATTATATGCTGCTATTTATTTAGCAGAACACTTCCTTCTAGCTTTTTCAATGCCCTAGAAAATGAACCTTTTTTTAACACACTGATACAACTAATTTATACAATTTGTCTCTAGAAATGCTGAGTCTGCAGAACTGCCAGCTACTGAAGGTGTATCAGAAGTATTCTTAACACACCAAGTCCTGGAGAGTGTGACATCAAGAACAGACAACCTTTCACTCTATACACTCAGAAGTTATCAATTTTCAGGACTATAACTATTTTCCTTATAAAACCTGCCCTACACTATCTCCAATGATGATTATACACTATGTAAAAGTTTGACAAAGCAGTGGTCAAGTTATGGCTGTAGAAGAGCTGAGTTAAAATGTTTCATAATTTATGTCGAAATGCCTTAACACAAACTCACCTGATTTATTTGAAGCATGTTAAGACAATAATGATCAAACTGCTGTATCTCTCACGGCTCCAAAAACTGGAAAATGAAAATGAAGAAATAAAGTTCAACTTAGTTGATAACCTCAACGACTGGTATTTTAAATACATGATCAAAATCAAATATAAAATGCAGTTGATCCAGATCAGCATAGTGCTTTCTATGATAATGAAATGTTCTATACTTGTGCTGTCCAATTAGGTAGCCATTAGCCACATGGCTAATGGGCACCTGAAATATGACCGATTTGACTGTTGTAGCTGAGACAGTAAACATTTAACATTTCTGAATGTTAATTTGAATTTAAATAGACACATGTGGCTTATGGATATCACTCAGATCTAGATTGATAAACAAAGTCTCTAATGGCTAATGACTAGCACTCAGATCTAGACTGATAAACAAAGTCTCTAATGGTTCTAGACAATCCCCACAAAAAGAAAACTGTTAACAAGCCCAAAAAATCTCACTGATATTTAATGTATATTCTCTTCACTCCAGTCAGGTTTTAAATAGCTTTGTTCCCATCTTCAATGATAACTTATGATAAATTAATACTAAAGAAGATGTAACATACACAAGTATTCTTGTATGTTACAGAATACACAATATGATTACCAAGCTACATATTTTATGTTTTTCCCTTATTATCAATATGAAAATGGTATTCACATTAAAATGTCATATAATCTAGATGTGTGCCTTTTTACATAATAATTCATTGAATGATTTCTCTTTTATTCTGTTATTGCTGATAAAAGGATTTACTCCAAAATAAAAGTTTTCCACACAATGCAAAAAAAAAGAAAAAAAAAACTAGACATGTGGTGCACACCTGTAATCCCAGTTACTCAGGAGGCTGAAGCAGGAAAACCACAAGGCCAGCCTGGTACCTCAGCAAGACCCTGTGTCAAAATAAAAAAGGGCTGAAGGTGTAGTAAAGCGAGCACTAGCCTAGCATTCATGAGGTGCTGGGTTCATTCCCCAGCACTATAAAAAATAATTAAAAAATAAAAATTTTACATAAAATTTCCTAGAAAATCAATCACATCACAATCATTGTCCCATTGCTACATTTGGGTTTGTTTCTTCTGGACCTAATAACCACCCATGGCTGTTATTTCTTTCCATGTGGTACATGGAAAGATATATGCTAAAGAAGGGAAGGAAAACCCAAATTTATAAACAAACAAACCACGAGCTCTCATAAAGGAAAAGGTTAACATAAAATATAAATTATGTTACAGGCACTTTTCGTTCCAAAATTATCAAGCAGCAACACAGGAAAATAAAAAGGACTAAATCCCATCATTTGGGTAGAAATTTTATGCTTTAAAATTTTAATATTGAACTTTCCCTCAGAAGCAAAGGTTCTATAGATATACATGCACAGAAGGAAACACTCATGTATCTAGTTACCATTTTTTCAAGAAGATAAATTGGGCCAGGAATGATGGCACAAGCTTATAATCCTAGTGACTTGGGAGGTTGAGGCAAGGGGATCACAAATTCAAGGCCAGCCTTAGCAACTTAGTCACACCCCGTTTCAAAAAAGACTAGGATGTAGCTGAGTGGTAAAGCTTATCTGGGTTCAATCTACAATACCTACCCCCGGCAAAATAAAAAAATATATATATGACAACCCTGCTATCTTTAAAAGTCAAGAGGTGAACCTAAGCAGGACTCTCTGGAAAGCAACAAGTCTGAAATCTTTCTGACTTGATTCCAAGAACTAGGGTTTGAAGGGGGGCAGAATCGTTGCATTGTCTCAGTTTCTTGGAAGGCCCCATTTAATCCATTTAATGCTTGTATTAAAAATATGCCAACAATTCAGGTGCAGTGTCGCACGCCTATGATCCCACCAGCTCGAGAGGCTGCAGGAGGAGGATGTAGAGTTCAAAGCCAACCTCAGCAAAAAGTGAGGTGCTAAGAAACTCAGTGAGACCCTGTATTTAAATAAAATACAAAACAGGGCTGGGGATGTAGCACAGTGGTTGAATGCCCTTGAATTCAATCCCCAGTACCCCTCCACCAAAAAAAAGAGCCATCAAACTATAAAAAAAAAAAAAAGAACGATGACAAACCAAAGTCAATTCAAATCAACTCTGAAAACATTTAATGTTTCTTACAATAGCGTCCTCAGCATCTGTATTATTTCTTTTCTTTCACATTTTCCAAGGGATTGGGACACTACATAAAAAGTACAAGGTCTAAATTTGAGTGAATTGGAGTTTTAGTATAAATTCTTCAGATTACCTCCTTCTTGATCAAATTATTTTATGTATCTTTGAGTCTTTTTTTTAAGTTTTTAAAAAACAAATTGAAGTCTCTGTGATAGGAGGCTTTTAACAAATAGAACAGAAATAATGAGATACCACTTCTAAGATTAGGTTATAAAAAGACTGATGTCGCCTTCTCTTAATCTCTCACTTGTTTGCTCTGAGGGAAGCCAGATGCAATACTGTGAGCTGCCCTTAGGAAAGGCCCACATGGCAAATAACTGAGAGAAGACTGGCCAACAGCCAGCAAAAATTGAGGTCTTCCGACGAACAGTCCCAAGAGCCAGCAACTGAATCCTGCCAAGAGTTTGAAAGTAGGTCTTCCACCAGTCAAGCTTCCAGATGCAACTGCTGCTCCAAATGCAACCTTGACTGCACCCCCTAAATGACATTAAGCCACAGGCACCTAACTTGCACCCAGATTTCTAACCCACAGAAGCTATGAGAAATTAAATGTTTATTCAATATTTTAAGTCATATTAACTTTAAGGTAATTTATTATGCAACAATAAATAAGACAATCCAGGTAACTCTAAAATTCAATACTCCTATGGTGCTTTAGGTATTACTTAACCTAAAATAATTTCTGTTCAACATGAGCAAATAAGTAACATTAAAATTCGAATGTGCTAAATTATAAAACTTAAGCATTTATATTTTTAAATCAAAAGTTGAGATCATTAAAAAGTGTTGCATAAGGGTTGGGGATGTAGCTTAGAGGTAGCCAGCACACTCAAAGCCCTGGGTTCAATCTCTAGTACCACCAAAAAAAAAAAAAAGTGTGACAGTAGTCAAATGGTATTAAAACACACTTTCTATGATTAAAAGTATAAAACAAAACCAAGTATTTAATTAAAAATAATTCATTTGACCTATTAAAACAAGTATATTTTATAATTTTTATTAAAATTATAATTTTATATTATAATTTTTCTTTTTGACCTATTTATGAAGTATAAATAAAATTTTCAATATTCCATTATAAAATAATAATAATAATAATAATAATTCAGTTGGCTGGGCATAGTGACACACATCTGTAATCCCAGCAGCTCAGGAGGCTGAGACAGGAAGATCTTGAGTTCAAAGCCACCCTCAGAAAAAGAGAAGCATTAAGCAATTCAGTAAGATTCTGTCTCTAAATGTTCAAGTACCCCGAGTTCAATCCTCAGTACCCCAACTCGCCCCAAAAAAATTTCATTTGGAACATAAAAATGTAAATACACCAATAAAATCACTAAGTACCTTCTAAAATTTAACATTACTTATTAAGCATTCACCAACTACGAGAAACACCATTTTGTTTTTATCTAGTATAAGCCTCTAAAAATATTTATCTACAAATCTGTATGTATTTCTTCATCATTAGAGTTTGGTAAGTGATTCCAAGAAGTAGCCACAGTAAGATATTGGGTTGGATTTCTTAAAGTTCTAATTTTCTGATGCACAAATAGTACCTTTAGAAGTAACAAAAATAAAATCATCTATTCACTTAAAATCCACTGTAAAATGTCAAATACTCTGTAAGCTTTCTTTAAACAATTTAAAATAAGGAGCTATATAAAACAGATGAAGAGAGGGACGTGGTGGCGAATCCCTGTTAATTCCAGCTGCTAGGGAGGCTTAAGCAGGAGGATAGTAAACTCAAGCACAGCCTCAGCAACTTTGCAAGGCCCTAAGAAAATTAGCAAGATCCTGTTTCAAAATTTTAAAAATAAATAAAAAGAACTGGGAATATAGCTAGTAAAGTGCCCCTGGGTTCAATCTCTGGTACCAATAATAATAATAATAATAATAAATTGAAATAAATGAAACTAATATTACTACTCTGAGGTAACTAGACATTGTTCTAAAATTATTCTTTTTAATCAAGCAAGTTATACTAGATTTACATTAGTATAAAACCTGTACTTCATCACACCTATAATCCCAGCAACTCAGGAGGCTAAGGCCAGAGGACCCCAAGTTCAAGGTCAGCCTCAGCAATTTAACCAGACCCTGTCTCCAAAAAAAAAAAAAAGAAAAATTTAAAAAAAGAAAGAAAAATAATTTGTAATTCACAACTATACTACAGATAATTGAGAATGCCCATAATAGCACATGTCTTTAAGATTTCACTTCTTGTTTAAAGACATGCCTGCTCTATGGTCCTGTATTTTAAATTTAAAAAAAAAAATCAAGACATATCAAAAAATATCAAGAGATCTCAATAAAATGTGGAGCATCTTATACTGCCTATGATTTCATAATGCAACTCTCCTTTCTTTGTCAAAAAAAAAATTTCAGATACAGTTCCATCCAACTAAAAGTACTTTCAGAGAAACCTATTCACATACCTCAAAAAACCTTACAGTGATAGCCAGTCAGGCACATTAGGACATGCAGTTCCAGATTTCAAGCTACCAAAAGAACACAAGTGGAGAGAGTACTACAAACTAGGGAAGACTTGCTATTCAAGAAGAATTAAAGGTGCAACCTGTATCTGCAGATGTAACACACCCCTTTAAAAATGAACTGTATTTTGCCAGGCGAGGTGGTGCACATCTGCAATCCCAGAGGCTTGAAAGGCTGAGACAGGAGGATCTCCAGTTCAAAGCTAGCCTCAGCAACTTATCAAGGCCATGAGCAAGTCAGCAAGACCCAGGGTCTAATAAAATATAAAAAGGGCTGGAGATGTGACTTGGTGGTTAATTGCCCCTGGGTTCAATCCCTCATACCAAAAAAAAAAAAAAAACTATATTTTGCCCATCTAATGAATTAAAATCTATACAAAATTAAATTTATAGCATCCTCAATAAATACCACTTTATAAAATGACATTGTGATTAATATCCATAAACATTTTACATCAGCACCCATCCTACATCTGGCAGACAGTTCTCATTTAAACATTCTATTTGACAATATGAAAAATAAAAGCATTTTCTATCCTGATTCTTAGACTATTAACTATGGCCCAACTAAATATCAATTCAAAGCTTATTTTAAAAATCCATGGGTTCATTAAAAAGCTGTTTAAAAATGTTTTTTAGTTGGGTACAGTGGTACACACCTGTCATAACACCTACAGGGGAGACTAAGGAAGGAAAATCACAAGTTCAAGGCCAGCCTGGGCAACAAGTGAGACCATGTCTCAAAAATAAATTTAAATTTTAAAAGTGTTGGAGATGTATCCCAACAGTAGAGCACTTGCTTAACAAGTACAAAGCCCTGAGTTCAATCCCCAGCAGTACCCTAAAAAATGTTTTTAATTTTAGCTTTTTAAAGCAGGTACCTGAAACAAACTTAAGGAAAATAAAACAGCATAAATTTAAATATCTATTACACTATGGGGGATACCAGGATACCAGCTATGTCCCCCTCTCCCTCCTGGGAGACATCTATGTTACCCTTTATTAAAATAAACCCTGTTGGGCTGGGGTTGTGGCTCAACTGTAGAGCGCTCACCTAGCATGTGTGAGGCACTGGGTTCGATCCTCAGTACCACATAAAAATAAATAAATAAAAATAAAGGCATTGTGTCCACCTACAACTAAAAAAAATCTAAAAAAATAAAAACTAGTTCACACAGGTTCAAAATTTTCTTCTATTCACCATACACTAAATTATAAAAGACCTGCCTTCTT